AAAGACTGAGATGAATGTTTACTTGTACTGTTGATCATTGGTTGAGCTAGGAAGACAGACTGCAGGTGCATTTTCGTTAATTACAGTGTTGCAACAAGAGTCTGTGATACACATATACAGTCTATACGCTTTGTAACAGTTACTTGCAGATTATAATAGAATAACCTGATGAATCTGTTGAAAACATAATTTCAAGTTCGTCGAGACGTGCTCATTGTCAAAGAACACCATTTCAAGATAATCAGAATTCGTTACCAGTATTTACATAAATATGAACAATTAATACACATATGACAATCAAGTTATAGAATTCACTAAAATTATTTTGTTGTTGATTGTTCTACAAATAAATCATTAACCTTTATCATTTTGTTTTGATGTGACTTTTCCTATCACCTAAGCTGTTTGTGTACACAAGAGGCTAAGCTAATCCTAACTAAGAAAGGTTTTGTTATTTACATGTTATTTGTTATTTTCTTATTTATTTGTTATTTAACTATGAAATCAGTAAACAAGGCCTTATATTGTATTAGAGAATTAAGCTATAACCAGAGTACAAAGAAATACATTATATTAAAAAAATCGAGTATGCAAGTGACATGACAACCACAACCGATATAAAGTCTCTGAGGAACGGCATGTATCAGAACAAAATTTTGAAATTGCTTGGCGTTATGTAGGTAGTGTGATGCTACTGAAAACGGATCGCTCTTTGGAAGGGTGTGTAACAGCTTTTATAACGCAAACTATTTATACTCTCAGATCATAAAGGTGTGTTCAGATTGTGCATTGTTAGTATTAGAATTTCGAATAGTCCGAAGCCGAGTTAACCAATAATTTAAATTTAGTAGTTAAATTGTACTTTGGATTTAGTATTTAAATATATGCCGATATATTAGTCAATTTGCGATTTTTGCCAACAAGATTAATACACACCGTTTTCGTTTTTAACACAAATACGTTTTAATATACACAAAACAGTACAATTTACAATAACAGTTATTACAAATAGTTACTACTAACAATGATTTATAAACAAAAGTTTCACAAACTTACAAACAATATAAAGTTTTTTTTCTAGTCTGGCGCTCATCGTAAACCCTCGATAAGATATCAAGGAAGTTGGTTGATGTAAGTATGATTCGCTGGGAAGCTAGCTATCTTTGTCTCCTTGGCCACACACGTTGTTTTCCACTGTTGAAGTTGGTAATGTTTTTGTAAAAAATACTAATGTCTGATGAGAATCCACTGAAGTTAAATGATTTGTAATGTTCGAAATTTATAAATATTTCTGGTCAAATATCTTAAATTTTGCAATTGATAAGCTTTCTAAAAGTCACAATTATAGCTTTCAGAGTTCATAGTATGCTGATTATAGCGAACTAATAATAGACACTCTCTGTCGTGTGGCGTTAGTTATATTTATAGCATGGGAACTTTTTCTAGAAACTTCAGCCATACGTACCAATACTAGTGTTAAAGCGTTTACATACACGCATATATTGTTGATTCTTACTATCGAGAATCTTCTACAACTTTGGAGAACAGGTTGGAGTTGCGCTATACATATCTATCACTACAAGCTATGCATGCTTTTGAATATAAACTCAATCTAAACAACGTCGATATTAAAATACATTAAAACAAATTCGTTACAGTGATGTTGACTAGCTGCCTTCCATTTTGTATTTCACAGCTAGATTAGATTAGGGACAGCTACCTGACGAAATGAGCACCACCAGGTAAAATCTTCCTGAGATCTCTGATGCATCAGCATTCAAGGTGACCCAATGGTCATAGGCAGGACTTAAAGAAAAATCATATTTAAAATTTCTTTAAAGCTGTCAGTAAATGATCAAACCATTGATGTGGCACCATAATAAGGTTTCACCCAAAGCTTGTACAAAAACTAAGGCAAGCATAAAAATCAATAAATGTATAATATATTCTCAAGGAGTAATAGGTTCTTAGTAAAAATAATGTTATTTTTAGGGATAGGCAGAAACATTTACAGCTCTGCAGAAATGAAAATATAACCTTTTTATTCTTCATGAATTACATAAGTTAAATTACAAAATGAGAAAATATCAATTATGAAATATAATTTGAGTTAAAATTGTTGAAAAATAGTAAGAATTAATTTATAAAATTTATCTACAAATTTTATGAAGTACAGAAAAAATGTGAAAAGCCAGAGGAATCTCTGTCTTCAGACAGTGTATAAAAATATATCCTACAGGTATTGCAACAGCATTGTTTAAAATTAAATTTAGAAAATAAAAGCTTTGTTTACCTGTTGCAACAATATTGTGTACATTTTTCCATACTTGTTATTCCAGACAATTCAGTTTTGTTTTACATATTTATAGGTGTATTTGTGACAATGTTGGGGCCTTAAATGTTGTATCGGTAACTACACAATTAAAAGGGAAGTGAATACTCATAACTGATTTTATTTATTAGGAAAACAAGTACATTTTTTCGTACATTCTATTTTATTGTTACCATTTAAATCTATCATTTCTAAACTTTCGATTGAATATGTAAACTCACTCAATAGCTAATGTTGTTTTCTATAGTTAGAATATTGTGAACTAACTTTTTTTTGAAGTTTTAGTGCTTATTTTAGAATTTGAAGAAATTCTAAAATGTCCGTAATTAAAGATGTTTTTTGGTGTTACCATATTTTTAATATTTATTATAAAACTTCATTTTCCAGTTGATGAATAAGCTGTAACTTGTAATAAAAAGTAACAAAGGTGTTTAACTTCTCCACATTAGCTACAGTAATGTTTTATTTTTACATGGATTTTCAGTATTTGTACATGAAAGAAGAGACTTCCAATATAATAATGTAGTATCTTAGATTAATCAGTGTTGACATTATAATCCTAAAGTAACCTAAATAAGTCAAAATTAAAATAATGTAAATATATTACTTTAATTATTAGCTCAGTCATGTTATAATCTAGTGATTTCAAAGCCAAATCTATTTGTAGTAATGTGATTGATCTGAAAATAAAAAGAGTTAAACATAATTTCTAAATTTTTAATTAAAATTAATAGCTATAATTATATTTAAAAACATTTAACACTGATAAACAGGATGCCTGATTTCAACATGTCTGTAAAAGGTCGTTATTATACAGGTGTACCACCTATGTTTTCACTTATTTTAGATATCAACAATGCAAAAAAACATCTTTCTTATGAAAATTCTGGTTTCTAAGCAATGAAAAATTGATTCTGTATCAAGACTGTTATAGGAGCTGCAAGTGCCCTAAGTACTATTATGATGAAAACAAGTCTGAAGTATTTATTGATAAACTACAGAACTGAATAATTAATTCAAAAATACTATAACAGTATGCAAGTTTTGATTCTAATAATTACAACCTGAAATTAAAATCCCCCATAATTATGACCTCATGTACAGCTGAAATCTTAATCTTACTGCAATACTTCACATTAATTTCATCGGTTTCATCTGGTAGTCTGTAACAAGTTCCCACTAAAACCTTCTTCCTCTATATTCACTAAGAGAAACACAGGTTCACTCTCATTACTGTTATGTTTGATACACTTAACCTCAACAGGAGGTAACCCACATATAAAGTCAATTCATTCCTTTGCTCATCCTACATATTAACCTAAGACTAGCATTCAGCCCTAGTGACTTAATTGTAATTTCATCCCTAAAGTTAAGTGACAGCAGTATCCCTGACACAGTTGAACTATTGCTGTTTTCTTTAAATGTCTTTATAAACCCCCTGTTCTTGTAAATTAACTCCTCTGACTTATCCTTCCCTATATCATAAACCTTTATGAGCTAAACAGAGACTCTATCACAGCTAATACACTTTACTATATCACTTTCTCTGTCAGTTATATTTTCCATTCCTGCCTCTGGATAGCATAATTTTTTTTTCTCTCTATTTACCCATCAGACTATCCCATCCATGTGCTGTACCAAAGAATTACCTATAGTTATAACCTTAAGTTTTATTCCTGTCCATTGCTGTCCTTGTTGTTTTCCTTCCTTCACATAGTCCTTCATCTGCACAAGCTAAAAGCTGAAATCTGTTACTTAATGTAATCTGCTCATTATAAATAGATCTACCACTTCTAGCCTTAATAATACTGTTTCTAACTTCCATAAAGTATTTTTTTAAGCTGCTGCATCCTAGCTTCCTTAAAAGTGCATGCCAGTCCCAAGTTCCCAAGTAATATTTGTAGTTTAATAATATAGATGAAGATGGTTGACAGACTACAAAACATTTTATTTACAAGGTTTGAACACTTCAGAATACACTAATTCTATCATCAGTAAAATCTGAGTATCAAATAGAACTGGCTGTTCATTACTTAAACTCAGCTAATTATCCATTCATTTACATGTTTATACCACGGAAAACAATATTTCATATAATGATTTCTCTATCATTATTACAGGATCTTCAGACCTTGAACTCTATATTAAAGAAATTTTACTCATAGACTGCCCTATTCTTAATGATTTCCAAACCTCCTTAGACTTAAAATATTCTACATTTACACGCTTAAAACTAAGCTGTTTGTTAAGAAGAGTTATGATTGTCTCATGGAACTTGTAATTCATGATAAATTTGTAATATATTCTATAATCTGTTGCTTTTTTCCTTTTGTTTACCATTTTAGTGATATACTGTTAGTTATTAAATATCTGTGTAATACTATTTTCATGTATTGCTAAAGATAGAATAAGTGTATTCCAAAATGTTCAAACCTTGTAAATAATATGTTTTGTCAACCGTCTTCATCTATATTATTAGCCTTCATTTCCCCCATCATAAATCCATTGCCAGTATTTGTAGTTGCTTTACCTGTATTGTTCTTTGGTGATAAATGTACTTAGGAGGTGAATCTTAAGTATTTTGTTTCATTTTTTAAAAACCCTGAGCAGATGTACTAATTTCATTTGAAAGATAATTTTTTTTTCTCTCAAAACAATTTTTTCTCCTAAATATGGTGATTACAGGATGGAGAGTTTGTATGGGATGAAACTCAGCAGGGTTTGATTCTTGGGTCCTTCTTCTTTGGTTATGTCGTAACCCAGCTTCCTGGTGGACGTATGGCTGAGAAAATTGGTGGAAAGTGGCTGTTTGGATTAGGAGTGCTATGTACAGCTGTTTTAACACTCTTGACTCCTCTTGCAGCAAGGCTCAGTGTGGGAAGTTTTATTGCAGTTAGAATTCTTGAGGGCCTTGGAGAGGTTTGTTTAGTAATGTGCTGTTTAACTTTTTCTTTTCTAGGGAAACATCATAATTTAGAATGTTAAATGTCTCTTCATATGGCAAGTTGTGACTCAATTGCGATTGGTTCACTAGAAAATACACGTATTTAGCTTCTTTAGTAAAAACAAATTAATACACACCATTAATTATTTAATTCTTTTCTTCTCTTAATTTTTTTGTGATTTATGAAATGATATTGTCCTGTATATACAAAACTGTTGGAATTAAATCCTTGTTTTGAAAAGATAGTTTAATATATTGTTTTCCGAGAAATCTTACCCCCTCTCACATAATAGCTTTTCTCATTCAGTTCTGACCTCTATATCTACACATTTTTTCACTTGCCTTGAAACTCCTACCTATTCCACATTCTTATGTGGTTCAGTTGCAAATAAGCATGTGACAACCCTCCACCAATAGGAGCACACACACTCTCCTGTCACAACTGGCTCCTTCTATACTGTAGAACCCAAGCTTCACTTCTCAATTTGGCACAGTAGTGTTAAGACGTCTTACAATTTTCTCTCACTTTCCAAATTTGAACTTGTTATTTTTTGTGCTGTTTAGTTAACAATTGCCTTCATTGACTTTTCACTCTCCTTTATACAGTTTGTGATTTTTTTTCTACATGGGAAATTCACCTCAGTTGAACATGTACTCTGAATTTCTCATCACTACCACAACAGTAATTAATACTTCTACAGCACCTTAACCTGCTGTGTCTTAGGCTTCAAGTTCTACACTTTTGGCTGAGGAGGTCTTGTTATTAGTTTAACAGGAGCTTCAATCCATCATGTGGTCAGCTGTATCTCCTGAGCCCAGACCAGACATTCCTTTTCCTGTAGAGTCTGAGCATGACAATGACAACTTGGAGAACCTTTTTCCACCTCCTGTTGTTTTATATGATTCCTATTCTGCCCTCCTACACTCTGCACCTTCCTCAGATTACCTAGTTTTTCCTCCTCCTTCAGATATCAAAGTCCATGCTAACCATTTTCTGGCACAATTGCATTCTGGGGATAGCATACCCCATCTCCCTCAAGCTTCAGATAACTTTGCTTTGTTAGATCCTGACCACACTCATTCATTACCTCTCCTCCATTCTTCTATCCACTTCTTCCCTGCAGGGTTTTTAGAGGTTATTCGTTCCCTTATTGTTTCCATGTTGGCACATTTATCCTCCTTGAACCTTTCCCTTCAAACTTGGCCCCTTTGTTGTTGTTTAGATCTTTTTTGGTAGGGGTGCATTGTTAGCTCGTGCATTTACTCACATCCTACTTACGAGACCTAAGAATGGCTCTATTGTTACGTAGGTCAACTTTTGGAGGTCTTCCTGATTCTTTGGAGTCATGGGTAGAGGTTGCTAGCCATCACTTCTCCATCTCGTCTTTGGTTTCCTGCCTATTGCAGCCTTCACCTGCTTCTCTTTGCTGGCCTTTTTCTTCAGGCACTTTACCTGTTCCTCTTTCCTGCATTCAACTGCGAGTCATCAGATTATTCATCACCAAAACACAAGTTGCCAATGGCACTGGTGACTATCCCGTCGCTTGTGGCAAAGTAGAAGCACATTTGGCCAGATTCGTGCATCTATGGTACAATTTCACTTCAGATCCTTGGGTGATTTGGGTGTTGTCAGAGGGTTTATCCCTCCAATTGCTCAACCTTTGTCCATTGTCCCCTATCCCAATATTCTCCCCTCCTCCTTGGGATTCCACTTCTTGCCAGTGTCTCGCTACAGTGGTTCAGACTGTTCTTCTCAAGGATGCTATAGAACTTGTCAGTTTTCCCTTTCCAGGTTTTTACTCCAGGCTGTTTGTAGTTCACAAGAAAACTGGGGACTGGCATCGAGTGATAGACCTTTTATGTCTCAACCATTTCATTGACTTTCCACGTTTTACCATAGAGTCATTCCTCACATTTTACTGGGAATTTACTCCAGGTCTGTGGATCACAAAAGTGACATCTCAGATACTTACCCACCCATCCCTATTTTCCCATCATCTAGACGGTAACTTAATTTTGTCCACAAAGGTCAGATTTATCTATTCCATGCATTACCTTTTGGGCTACCATCTACAACCTACATTTTGTGTCAGATAGTCAGAGCCTTTGCTCTACTAATTTATGGATAAGGTTTGCATTTCCATCATTATATGAATGACTGGCTGTTGTTAGCTTGATCCCAACAAACAGCTCATGAACACACTCAGTTACTTCTTGAGGAAGCAATTTGTGTGGGATGACTCATCAAATTGGTGAAGTACTTCTGTATCTCAACCAAATACCTCGTCCACTTTGGAGTATTTTGCAATTCCTTCCTCAGTCCGGTCCAGCCTTCTCTTCATTTAAGGTCAATGAAGCAACTGGTACTCTGTCTGTATGTGAAGTTCTTTTTCTTTTGGGGACTTGGGCTTCCATGGAAGCCCTTGTACCCTGGGGTCATGCTCACATATGCACCCTTCAGTGGACATTGCATGATCAATAAAACCTTGTTTGGGTTCTCCTAGACTCAGTTATTCTTCTACCTTATTCACTTTAGGTCAATTTCACATAGTATCTCAACAGGGACAACACCATAATGGGCATTCCTCTTCAGTCTCCATGGCCCAAGCTAGATCTTTTTATGAATGCTTCTCTTATAGGTTGTGGAGTGATTATGGATTCTCAAGAAATTGTGGGTTGTTTGTCTTCAATCAACAAAGCAATGCACATCAACATCCTAGAGCTTTTTTGCCATCTGTCAGGCTTTTGATCATTTCCTACTTTAATATGAAGGAAGGTGGTCATATAATCCATTCTGACAATTCGACAGTTGTGTTTTATATCAGTTAACACAAACTGCCAATGGTACTGTTGACCCACCGGTTATGGTCTGATGCATCCTAGCCACTCTACACGATTGGGCACATCCAACTCTATATTGAATGTGCTCCTCTTTCTCTGCTCGATTTAGTGACATATCTTCACAATGGGTTAAGAGTATACCTGGTTCAGATGGGATGCTGTTTCCCATGAGTGTGTTCCTCTTACAAGAGAAGTCACATTCCATGGGCATTCTTCAAATGTTTTCTGAAGGGTGCTCATCTAGGTAAATTTTGCACTGGTCCTTTCACTAGGTCAATATGGGATTCTAGCTATTATGTGTGCAGAAGTGAAATATAATATCAGAAGTTAATATTTTCCTACACTGAAAATATAATTCCGATTAATATTGATCTCCTCTCACATTTCCCATGCTTTCAGTACTTCTTTTCTGCTTAATCTTCAATTGAAGATTAGGTTCTACAGTATAGAAGGAGCCAGCTATAACAAGAAAGTGTGTCATGTCCCTATTAGTGGAGGATTGTCACATGCTACAATGCAGCTGAACCTTGTAGAAACATGGGAAAGGTGAGAGTTGGGAGTTTCAAGGCTAGTGACAAGCGATACAATTTATGCATATAGAGGGCAGCACTGTATGAGGAAAGCTATTATGTGAGTAGAGGTAAATATGTGGCAGAAATATATTTCCAGTGTAGGGTAATATTAATTTTTATGAGTTAAGTATTTTAAAAATGTTCTGTTAAATAAAGCGTTTATGCAATAAAATATATTTAAAATATGAATATTATTTTCAGAAATGCTACTCGCCTCTCTGCATGAAAAAGAGCTATTACCTTGCATGCCTTGCATTGTAAATTTTAGCACATGCCACAAGCTTTGAACATAGTTCCTACCCTTACATGTGTCAATTTGTATTGCAACAGCCTGTGATGTAATCATAATTAAACTCTAGCCCTCCACCAACAGAGGATTATGTCTTATTGTTTGTTCTCATTGTTTAATCAAACATATGGAATTCATTTGTATTATTTAGGCCTATGCAAAAACAAAGTACCTGGCTCATTTTATTTCATAAAAATATATCTTGAATTCTGTGACATTCCTCATATTTTTACAAAAGAGACAGATTAATAGGATTATGCACATTCATTTTTCCACATTTCTGACATCTGAAACTTTGACATTCCTTTGCAAGTGTCATCCAATACTTTTATAGGGACTGGAGGCACTAACTGTCAGTGATAATACCACCATTGTGTGCCATGTGGTTGGTTCCATTCTGATCTTGGATCCAGAATTCCTGATCTTCTACTTCTGTTACCTTAGCTGAGTCTGCTCGATCTGTTAATGAGTTTCACTACTGCTGTTACCATGACTGGCATTGCTTCTAGTTTTCTCTTCATATCAAGGATCAGATAATCCTTCCTTCATCATTTACAGCTTGTATTCCATGGGCATTTGTCTTTTGTTTTCTCTTTCTCCAGTTACTTTTTGCTAAATCTCAAGCTTTCTGGAGCTGGGGTCTGCACAAACTTCTCCTCCTGATATTGTACATACACAGCGTGGTCACAAGTAAACAGACCCCACCTTTTCAGAAAAAATTAAATTTTTCAGTCATATTCACATGAATTGATATATTTATAATTTAATTAATATCTATTAGATCTTCTTTTCGCTTCGTGGAGTTCGTTGATCCTTTGGGGCATCGTGGGAATCATCTCATCAATTTTAGATTGTGGGATTTTCGCCCAATCTTGCTTCAAAACTTGGAGTAGATCGCTCTTCGAAGTTGGTTTTTTTGGTTGTTTCTTGACTTGCCGGTCGAGTATGGCCCAGAGGTTTTCAATGGGGTTCATGTCAGGAGATTGGCTAGGCCAGGGCAACTTCTGGATACCATTTTCTCCCTGCCACTTTTGGGTGTTTCTAGCAGTGTGACACGGTGCTCCATCTTCCTGGAACAACGTTGTGTTCTTGTCCACCAAACCCGAGGAATAAAGTGGCAAGAGTCCTTCCTCCAATATTTCGACATATTTCGCAAAAGTTATGTTGCCAACACACTCCACTAAGCTCGATCTCCCACCAACCCAAACAGCTCCCCAAACCATCATGCTGAAACCACCATGCTTCACAGTTGAGCCAAAACTCTTGGTGAGGC